CCCAGCCTGGGGGAGCCTGGGGAGCCTGCTGCCCACCCGGGGCCCAGCTCGGGGGCCGGGACCAGGAACGAGAACGTCTCCACCTTGTCCGTGAGCTCCCTGGAGGTGAGGGCAGCCCAGGGGCCCCGGGGGCAGGGCGTGCCGCGGGCAATGCTGGTTTGGGCTGCAGCCAGTGTTAGGAAGTCCAGGCCTGGGAATGCTGGGGGCCAGTGTCCCGGCTCCCCCCTGCTAGAAGGAGTCCCTTGACAAGAAGGGGGACATGCTGGGGAGCTGGCTACTGACGGGGCGTGCCCGAGGACCACCCCCCGCCCCCCGCCATCCTCATCCTGTTCTCTAGCCACGCTGCCCCTGGCGCTGCTGGGCCCTCGTGACAGGGAGCTTCTGGCCTGCGCCAAAACGGGGTTCTCTCCCATTGCAGAGAGGCCCACCAAGCTGGACTTGAGCCGGCTTGAGTCTAGCCCCTTCTGTGGTTGTGGTCAGGGCAGCAAGTCCCTCCTTAGACCAACCTGAAACTTAGACTTGACCCCAAGCCCACCCAGCCTGTGCAACATGGGGCTCAGAGACTCGATTGGAGGAGCATTGCCGAGCACCCTCAGGGAGCCCCACCCTCCTGGCTCACTGCCTCTGTGGCCCCCCGGCTGTGCTGCTGCCCTGCGTCCAATGCTCCTTGTCCCTGGGGGCATGTTCTGGGCAGGCTAAGCCCGATACCCTTGCCCAGCACTGGCACTGGCCTGGAGGCGGGAGATGGCCCAGGGGACAGTCCGGCTCCTGTCAGCTGGGACAGAAAGTGATGAAGAGCTTCTGCAGGTTCACCCCCACTCGGGACCTGGAATACCAGAGCCCCAGGTTGTCATGGGGCAGAGAGCCCCCTTGGGACTGTCACTGCCCTCTGGGGCCACGCCTCCTGTCCACCCTCTTCCCGCAGAGCCCTCCGGCTGGGCCCCCACTGTCTAAGGCAGCGGGTGGCCTGAAAGGGGCCCTCAGAGGCGTGTCCCCCAGGGCTTGGCTGAGACCCCGAGAGGAGGCCTGGGGTGAGGGGTCCCTGGTCTCCCCCATCCTCAGGCAAGGAGGGGCCGGGACCTGCGGCCCAGGAGGTTTTAGGGAACGGCTTGCAAATGGGCACAAACCTCTTCTCCCCACAGCGGCGGAAATCGCGGTATGCAGAACTGGACTTCGAGGTGGGTCCTGGCGTCCCCTCCCCCACACGGCCGGGCTGGAGGTGCTCTGAGCCCTTCCAGCAGGCAGGGAGGGGCAGGGCAGCCCCCCTCCGGGCTCAGGCTCCGCCACCCCTCCCGACCCGCAGAAAATCATGCACACGCGGAAGCGGCACCAGGACATGTTTCAGGACCTGAACCGGAAGCTGCAGCACGCGGAGAAGGACAAGGAGGTGCTGGGCCCAGACAGCAAGGTCTGGAGGGGGGCGGGGCCCTGGGGTGCTGGGTGGGGTGGCGGCGCGGGACGGGGCACTCCGGGAGAGCCCTTAGGTAAGGCTGTCTCCTGCCCTTCTTCTTCCCACCCTCCCCATTCATTCGCTCTTTCCTGCGACCTTTCCTGGAGACTGGCCTGACCTGGCCCATGCTAGACCCTGGAGGGCAGGGCAAGCCAACGGGAAGGCCCCGGGGAGGGGGGAGGCTGTCTGGAGGGGTGGGGGCGCGCTGACTCCTGGGGCCCCGTCTGGAGGGCTGGGGGTGCAGTGACTCCTGGGGCCCCGTCTGGAGGGGTGGGGGTGCACTGACTTTGGGGCCCTGTCTGGAGGGCTGGGGGTGCACCGACTTTGGGGCCCTGTCTGGAGGGGTGGGCCGTGCACTGGCGAATGGTCAGGCTGCCTCCCAAGGAAGACTACGGCCAAGGGAGTGGTGCCAGACAGCTGCCCTTCACCGTAGGCCTTCTCCCTGCACCCCCAGTGCCGACCCCACAGTGGGAGGCGCTCTGCTCCTGGGTCACCTGGGATCTCCCCCCACTCCCCGCCTCTCCGCTGTCTCGGGCCCCTTCTTCTCTGTTCTGACTGTCGCCTGCATTCTTTCCCTGCTCCCCATCTGATTTTGCTCCGTGGCCTCCCTCACGGCCCCTCCCTCCGCCCACTGGCCAGCAGCCAGAAAAGCAGCAGACACCCAACAAGCGGCCCTGGGAGAGCCTTCGGAAAGCCCACGGGACGCCTGCGTGGGTGAAGAAGGAACTGGAGCCGCTGCCGCCGTCCCCACTGGAGCTGCGGAGCGTGGAGTGGGAGAAGTCGGGCGCCACGATCCCGCTGGTGGGCCAGGACATCATCGACCTCCAGACTGAGGTCTGAGCAGGTGGGCGGCAGCCACGCACCGGGCCACGAGGAGGGATGCTGCTCTGCCCGCTCCTGCTACGGGACGGGCACAGACATGCTCTCGGGCTGTGGGCCAGGCCCGCGTCCCGGCCTCAGGGTGCTCGGACGGCGGCCCTGCGGAGGCCCGCCCTGCTGGGACCAGAGCCAGACGGGACAGGAGGCACCAGCGGCCCGCGGGGGCACAGGGCTCCAGAGGCCGGAAGGTGCCTCAGACTCTGCCCTCCTCCAGCCCAGCGCCGGCGGGCAGGCGGGCGGGCCGCGGACAGGGGCCAGGCCAGGTGCGGCCAGCATCCCCGGGATGCCTGCCGAGCTGCCGCAGCAGAGGACCAGCCTGCTTGGCCCAGCTGGCCTGGCACCATTTTTTAGACATCCCTACCCCTCGGGAAGCAGCCCCCCACCACCTTTCCAGGGCCCGGGGCCCCTCCCCAGACCCAGGTGGAGAGCACAGCCCTCGCTCACCTGCGCAGACCCCAGGGGCAGGACTAGAAGCCCACTCCGGGAAGAGCAGGGGTGGGGAATCTATTTTTTCTCTCCTTTTCTTTTCTTCAATAAAAAGAATTAAAAACCCACGTTCCGTCTGTGTGGTCTTCCTCTGTGCTGCCCAAGCCACAGCCCCATGGCTTTCGCGGAGCGGCCTTGGGTCCTTCCATGGGGGTCAAAAGGGCCCGGGAGGCCTGGTGGGCACGGGGCTCCACCCCTGCACCCTGCCTGGGAGTCAGGAGCCCACGCTGTGTGGACCGTGGCCCCCAGGCCCACGGTCGTGTGGCCCCCAGGGGTGCTATGAGGAAACTGATGGGGACCCTCGGATGCTGGGCTCCCTTGCTCCCCTTCCCCCAGACTTTTAGACCCACAAGGGGTCGTTGGCGTGTGATGTCCCTGTGCCCTTGCCTTTGCCCGGGGGAGGGGGGAGGCAATCTGAGACTGGGGCAGAGTACGTGGAGGGAGGGAGGGAGCCGGGGCCCCGCTCCTTCCAGCTGACCTTGGTGTGCCCAAGATCTCCTCCAGGACCCTGGCCCTCTGCCTCACCCCTGGCCCACGCACCTCCCCCTTGGTCCTGGGGCAGGCGTGAGAGACAAATGTGGACATGCCCAGAGCCGCGCCCCCTGCTCCATCCTGCCCTGCCCTCTGCCACCTCCCACCTTGGCCCGTGGCCCACAGCTTGCCTGGTTTCTGAGCCTGAACCTTTGAGAAGCTCGTCCCTGCGAGCGGAAATGCTTGCCTCTCCTCGGTGTTTCCAGCAGGGGACAGCCTGAGCCCACGCAGAGAGCCCGGCCAGGCGCTGCGAGGCTGGGAGGGGCGGTGAGCCAGGCTCCGCCCCCAGGCTGCACGTCCCACCGCGGGCAGCAGAGTCCACTGGCCCAAAGAGGGGGTGCACAGGTGGGCTGTTGGAAGGCCCCAGCACCCTGAGATTACGGCCCCCCAACCTCGTCATTCAAGATGAACACAATGCCAAGCCCACTGAAAAGTGGGGGAACTGCCTGGCGCGGGTTCCCACAGCGCCTGGCCCGCCACTCTGGACCGCCTCGGGCCACGAGCACAAGTGACCGAGGATGGAGAGGGGCCACTGGTGACTAGCGTGGCTGCTGGGGGGAGTGGGCAGCCAGGAGGGGATGGCACAGCCACGCAGGCACACAAGAGCCCGCCTCTCAGCCACGGTCCTGAACACTTCAAAACGCAACTTTGTTTGGTGAGATTTGGCAGCAAAACCTAAGCCCAGCGAGGCTTGTTAGAGTTCATTTGACCACTAGATGCGACCACGCACGTTCGACGGTGGCGCGGCCGGGCGCTGGCCGGTATCTTACCGGTACCGCATGCACGCTCTCCACCCGGAGATGCCTCGGACTCCAAGCTCCACTGGCCTGGGGGTGCAGACGACGGCGGGGGCCTCATGCCCCCACGGATGCCGAAGGAAGCCGGAGGGCCCCCCGGGACGGGGGTCCAGGTAAGGGGAGCACCGAGTGCAGGGCGCCCCGCTGCCCTTGTGGAGTGACCTGACCCCCCCTGCCCTGCTCACGCACGCCACAGAAAACCTGGAAGAAACGAACCAATCGGGGTGGACCCAGGCCACGTGCTCCCTGCCTGCGATGGGAGTGGCTCGGATGGTGTGAACGGGGGCTCAGGCTCCCCTCCATCCTAGCTCCCGCCAAGAGGGCCCTGTCCTTCCAGGAGAGGCCACATCCTCTGTTCTGCCCCGGCCCCACATTCCCGGCTGTTCAGTGCATAACGGCCACCTGGCATGGGGACGGAGCCCGGAAATCGCTGTCCTCTCTCCCGCCCACTGTGCAGGAAGCCTGCTGGGGACGTTCCCACCGGATTCGTCAAAACCGCTGGGCCCTGCATGGGTCTGCCTCCAGTGCCTTCCGTGGTGACCCCCAGGTGCGCGGAGCTGGTCTCTGGCTCGCCCTCTGTTCATCCAGCTATTCCCACAGCTGTGCTCTTGGGGCTGGACAAGGCAGGGTCCTGACTCCCTCTCCAGATGAGGAAACGGAGACCGGGTGTCGGGTGTCGGAGTGAGGCTTCCCTGCAGGGGTGGGGGGCAGGTAGTGAGCCCAGCTCCCCGGCCTTAATCCCTGGACACTCCCCTCGGTGGGGAGGTCACCCAAGGGCAGCCACGGGCCTCCCTCTGCTCTTCCCTCCACCACAAGCTGCTCCTTTCCCTGGACCTTGTTTTCCTCATGGTCTCGGCCCCTTTGTACCCGTGGCCGTCCTCCTCGGCCCTTCGAGACTGCCTCCTAGGCCACCCTTCCCCTGCCGTCAGGGACCACCATGCCCCGAGGATGGGGCTGGCGATGGCGGCGGTCACCGTGGCGGGCAGGAACATGTGCAGCCAAAGCTGGTGGGGACGCTTTTGTGGGGTTGGGGAGGGATTCTCGTGCTGGTGGTGGTGCCTCCGGATGGCAAGGACAATGTCCCCAGGCCACCCTGTCCCCCGCACCCACAGACAGGAGGAGCTCCTGGAGGGGGGCCTGACAGACGGAAGGTACAAGGATGGGTACATAAGGGCCATGACGAGGGCCTGAGTCCCCTGGGGGGGGGCCAGGGCGTGCTGGACGCGGCCACACTCCTGTCACCCAGGCAAGCGGCCCCTGCACGAGTGGCCGTTCCTCTGGGCAGGTGGAGACTCTTCCTGGAAAAGCCTTCACATCCACCCCTCCCAGCCCTCCCGGACCCAGCCAGCAGCAAGCCCGGACCGTCGGGAAGTCCCTCTTCCTGTCTAACCTCCGGCCAGCCGCTAGCCGCAGTGTGAGAGGCTCCTGTCCCCAGCAGCAGACTGTTCTAGTTCTTACTTCCTCCGTCCCTCCCTCCATCCGTCTGCTCCACAACCACACAGTGGAGCCACACCGCAGCATCCTCGGGCTCCTCCCGGCCATGTTCAAGGTGAAGGACCCGTCTCCAGGCTCCCATCACCTCCCCAGGCCCCGCGTCCCACATGGGCTTGCCTCCACAGAGAAGCGAATCCTCAGGGAGCCTCACGGTCCAAGACTTGTTCCAGAACCTTCCAGTAGCCGTGAGTGCCTTCCTATCCCTGCTCCACCCCGGCCCCCCAGCCCGCTGGGACCTCCTCCTGAACCCGGAGCTTTGTCTGGGGAACGTGGGGCCTGTGCGGCCCCCCTGAGCTGGCAAGGCAGCTGGTAACCCACCTAAGCTGCCCAGAAACCACCACCCACATGGGGGCCATCCCACTGCCCTAGGGGGTTACCAGGCAGCCCTTTCTAGGGGCACCTGGGTGGCTCAGTCGGTGAAGCATCTGCCTTCGGCTCAGGTCATGATGTCGGGGTCCTGGGATGGAGCAGAGTTGGGCTCTCTGCTCCGGGGGCTGGGAGTCGGCTTCTCCCTCTCCCTCTGCCCCTCCCCCTGCTTGTGCTCTCTCTCTCTCTCTGTTTTTCTCTCTCTGTCTCTCTCTCTCTCTCAAATAAGATCTTAAAAAAAAAATTCCTGGGGTCCCTGGCTACCATCCCCACCCCATCCCTGTAGGTGTCTTGGCTCTTTACCCTGAGTGTCTTCACCCCCAGGCCCTGGGAAGGACACCAAGGCCCCCCTGCAAGGAAGGGCTCGCACACTGGTCAGCGATAGGAGGGGCCGCACTGGCCTCCCCCTGCGTTACCGCTCTGCCACCTACTGCCGGTGACCCAGGGAGGTCTCAGACCTCCTGCAGAGTGGGGGTCCCCCCACCGGGGTGTCCCACGGCACTGGCCAGGTCTGCTCGAAGCGGCCCACGGTGGGTGGGAGGCCAAAGGTGCGCCGGCTGGGGGCAGAAGGCCCTGACCTCGGGCAAGCCCCGCCCCTCTGGGCCTCGGTTTCCCCTCTGGCACTGTGGCAGCCGGACTGGGAGACTGAGATCCCTTCCAAGGCCAGCAATCGGTGGCCCTGCGGCTTCTTAAGGTGTGGGGAGCAGCGGGCTCCCCAAGTATTTTTTAGGGCCTAAAAATAACCAGGAGGGGAAGGGTGTCTCTGAATAGCTCAGGAATGTGCCAGTCACTGCCCCACTCGGAACTGCCTCCAAATAAGGCTCTGGCAGAGCCGGAAGCCCTGAGACAGTCACTGCTCGCGTCAGCCTCCCAGCTGTGCTGCTCCAGAACCTTCCTTCCCACCCCGGCCAGCCCTCAGCCTGGACCCAAGGATCTCCCCCAGACAGCGGTCAGGTCCGGGGCCGGGCATGGGGTAGGGGTCCTGGGAGCCCCCGATGGACCACAGCTCTTTGGACAAAGAGTAAAGAAGTTACAGTCATACAATCTAACATTTACTAGTCTAGAAACTTCCATTTACATGTGTGGATCTTAGGACAATCCAATTCAGACCCCTTCCCCAAAACCCAGAAGACGGAAGTGCAGGGCCCCCTGAAGAAGATGCATGCTCTCCCCTGGCACCCTGGGCATCTCCGGGAGCGGATACCCTGACTGGCGATGGGGGGCAGCTTGGAGCCCTGCTCAGACCAGGTGCAGGGCGCAGGCGTCCCCAGCTGTCCCAGGAAGGCAGAGGAGGTGTTGCTGGACTCAATATGGCTCTCTGGGAACACCATATGGATGCGGCCCAGGAAGGGGAGTCGGGAGGAGGCAGGACGCAGAGCCCCCCCCCCAACTGCATCCTCCCCTCTCCATCACAGGGAATTCTCTGGGAGGCAGGTGGCAGATGGGGTGGCCTGCAAGTCAGGGTTCCGGGACGATGCTCCTGCCTGTGACCTCAGGGGGCCTGTCCCCTCGCTGGTTTTCCTCCTCTACCAGCCCATGCCCCCACCCCCGTCCGACTCTATCCCTCCCAGACCCTTTCCAGGCTCAGCCTCCCCCAGTCCTCAGAGGGCAGGCAGCTGACAGATGCCACCCAGTCCCTCTAAACCTCCTGGACAGATGAGAGTGGGTTTTGGGGAGAACAGGTGGCAGAACAGGAAAGAGAAGGGACGGAGTGGTGGTGGACGGGGGCCACTTCACTGGAGGAGAGGAGAGGACACGGCCTGGTGACAGTGCCCTGAGAACCAGCGCAGGGACGTGACCACCCCCCGCCCAAGGCTTCCTGGAGGAGGGGCCCAGGCTGAGCCCGAGGTCAGTGGGGTGGCAGATGGGCACCC